GCAAAGGAAAGCCATGTTCTTTTGGCCAGCAAGGAGTTTTAAGGATTCATGTAATCTAGCAAGGAAAACCAGGGATCCTATAGCCAGCAAGAAAATTCAGAATCTTCTGGCCAGAAATGAGAGCCAGAGTCATTTAGCATCATGGCAAACCAGGATCATCCAGCCAACCAGGGAAAACCAGGATCGTCTAGCCATCCAGGAAAACCTGGATCATCTAGCCGAGCAAGGGAAGCCAGGATCCTCTAGCCAACTAGGAAAAACTAGGCTCCTCTAGCCAACCAGGAAAACCAGGATCGTCGTGCGCGTGGGGAAGATGGGGAGGGAATGGAAGATATCTGTAATACTATCAACAATAAAAAATATATTAAAAAAATAAAATATATGGTTATCAAATATCAGCTTTACTTTTATTCTTAAATCTGTCTCTTCAGTTTCATTGATTTATCAGTAAATCTGCTCCCTCTTCTATTACTTTTTAATCATTATAGCTAGCTTTACAATACTTTTTATTATGTATTAAAGTCTCCACATATATGTACATTTTCTTTTAATTGAAATCTTTCCACATGAGCTAAATAGTTGTTTTAAAACAAATAAAAAATTCAGTTTGGAATTTAATTTATATATCTTTAGAGAAATTCTATCTTTACTTTAAAGATAGCATTTGTACCTATACACTCTTATATACTTAACTAGTGGCTGGGTGAATGAAATTCATGCACGGGGGGAGGAGGGGTTTGTCCCTCAGTCTGGCCTGCACCCTCTCCAATCTGGGACCCCTCGGGGAATGTCCAAGTGCCAGCCTGCTCGCCCCCAACTGCACCCCCCTGCCAGCCTGCTTGCCCCCAACTGCCCTCCCCTGCCAGCCTGATCGCCTCCAACTGCCCTCCCCTGCCAGCCAGATCGCCCCTAACTGACTCTGCCTAGGCCCCGCCACCATGGCTTTGTCCAGAAAGATGTCTGGAAGATCTCCTGGAAGGTCTCCCAGTCTAATTAGTATATTATCCTTTTATTAGTATAGATAGATGTATTTTCTTATGTCCCTAGAATTTTATATCTTTAAATAGGTTTTTCAATTTTGTGTTAGTTCATGCCAAACTGAATGGTTTATTTGTCCTATTGTATTTTCTAATTTATAAACATCACACCTAGTGAGAACTGTAATTCCACACTGGTTAGTAAATTGTTTGATTTTTTTTCTAGGAGATTTTCAGTTGCTTCCTGTAGGCATTCAAAGTATACAACCACATTAGGTGTAAAAAATATTAATTCTGTCTTTTTTGCTAACCAGAATGTCAATATGCTCTTCTGCTTAATGCCACTGGCCTATAAAATTCAGAGTGTGAGGAGCAGATCTGGCTTTCCCAAATTTAGTGGAAATGATTTTACTGTTTCGAGATAACCATCGGAGATACATAGATGGAGATTATATGTTTATTCCAAATATTGCAACACCCAACTTAAAGTACTGAATCCATACCCTTTTAAGTAGGTGGGAAATCAACCTTACTGCATTACAGCTTTATTGGCTACATTTCAAATGTACAATGTAAATTAAAAATTCAATTAAATCGTACATCCTAAGATAAACAAAACCAGAAAGTAAATAAAAGGAAAATCTAAGTCTTGAAATATATGTTTTACTTTATGGAAACAAAGCACA